AAGGTATATCAACTGTTTTTTATTTACGTATTTACTGACTATTTTATTTTTTATTTTTATTTACTTATATTTTCTCTTACCTTTGGATTTTTTTTTTTTCTTTTTTTTTTTTGCTCCCTATACTCTGCTGTCGTTGGAGCGACCAACGGGACAGTGGTGGTTGGGGTTGTTATATTTCGGATGTTCTTTAGGTTTTTTTTTTTTCCCCTCGCGGTGAAGGTACGCTCACCTTTCTTTCGGTTTCCAGAGGGAAGAAATAATGTAAGGGAGTTTGATATACCGATGCGAGAAGACGCTGGGATTGTATTTTGATATACTGTGCGTTTTCTACGGAGTTATGCGATCCAACGTTTTTCTCGAGGGGGTAATTTGGTCATTTCGGAAAAGCTCGTGAATGTCGATGTACTTAAGTGGAAATCAGTGAAATTTCGCATGTTTCAATGTAGAAGGGAATAATGTATATTTTAGTTATAGCTGGTGGTGAAATCAAGTTTCAATTGGAGAAAAAAAAAGAAAAAAAGAAAAAAAGAAATAGAGTAAAGCCGTTCGTTATTCGCTGCCTATGTGCCGCGGAAGTGGGGGGGGGGAAGCTCGCCAACTTCCGAACTGCCATTTCGGCCGGAAAGCCCGTACGCGTGCGTGTACACACATATCGGCACGCGGGCCTTTCCTTCCTTCCTTTCGAAGAAACAGTTCTTCCTAAACTGAGTTTGGTGGAGTATATATACACAGCTCCCGTTGCGTCTACGCGCCAAAGTTCGCTCTCTCCCTCGCCTGTACGTACACCCCATCCAAAGAGTCAATTTTGCAGCTGGAGTTGGGTAATGCGATTTGCGCCGGAATAAATAGTTGGAAAGAGGGCCTTTCTTTCTATGCTCCGCAAACTTGTTTCCCCCGTATAGTGTGTACGTGTGTACTCGCGCCGAGGCTGGATTCTTTTTATTTTTTTGCTCCTCTCCTTTGGGAGGTGGGAAGAATCTCGGGGCCTCCTTTACTTATACGGAAGAAGCTGGGCAAGACGTAGAAACGGAGAAAGGGTAAGGAAGGTTATGCATGATTGATGGCTCTGGAGGTACTTGAGGGCTGATACCTTTGGAGACACGGATGAGAACAATGGCCATTGTTTGGATACTCACTGGTCGAGAATGACGAGAATTTTTTAAATAAAATGTGTATAAATGGGTAGTGGTTTGCATTATCCAGTATAAGAATGAACGTGATAAGAAACAAGTTTTCATCCAGATAAAAAATAAGGTATAATTAAAGACTCGTTTTTGGATGCCTACATGTTGATGGTGTCAATTATACGTAATTATTTTATCATCTTCTTGTCATGATACAAAAAATCTCAGGATTTCTGTTTAAGGTCCGCAAAAACCGGTTTTTGTTAGACTCAACGTCACCTTACATTACTTTCGTCGTAAATCCGAGCGAGTGACAAGGCTGCGTGCATATATATACCTACGCATGCCAGTGTCTGAAATTATGCAGCGACGGAAAAACCTGTACAGATAATATCCACAGGCTTTACGTAAGACGTCCCAGATCTCTTTCTCTTTCGCGATGATAAAAAGAAAAAAATACACCCACACGTACTGAGGTACACGTCTTTCTCTAATTCCCTCTCGTTGTCATTTTCTTTCCCTCTAAGCCGGCTCGTCCTTTCTTTTCATTTCCTCTCCAGGCTCTCCTAAGCTGTTTCCTGTTTTATAAAAAAATGTCCATCTCCACGAAAGTAAGTGTCCTTTTTTTTATGTTCGTGAAGTTATATTTTTCAATTTTCCTACGATAATAGCAACGTTTCGTTTGAGAGTTTTTAGATACGACGCAACTCCCGAGTTATTATCCCCTTCATACGCTGAAACGGATCCTAATTCCATTTTTATAGAAGCTACGTTATCTTTTCTCATAAGTTTGTTGTATAATCCTCACACTTTACGCCCATGTACACCGTTGGGACTGGTTATACAGTTCCCTCCTCGAAAATCAAAATAAAGTCACCCAAAATCGTCCCCGATAACATATTATACCATCATCATCCCCGCACGACACGCGCGCGTAACGCAAAAACAAACGAGCATTAATACCACTCCCCCAGCTCTAATTCTAATTCACAGAATCTCCCTCCCACTCGCATGTATACATGGGCATATTGGTATGGAGTAAAACGAGGGAGTCGGGGGAGATGGAAGCCCTCTAATCCAGCGAATGAAAACTTACGCTAATTAAACTGTTAATAGGCGTCTCTGTGAGTACATGCGTACACCTGCGTAATGACACACACGCGGGTATACACACACACACACACACACACACACACACACACACATATATATATATATATATATATATATATATATAAACGTAAAGTCTGTATCTTCACATTACGGGTAGAATATAGAGACTAAGTACTGTGGACATTGCCTCTGAAAAAGCTATCCGTGATCTTCATTTCGACAGATCGGTTTTTGCCATTACCATGGAGGGGACATTGTCGTTGTTGTTGTGTGATGTACCGATTGTGTGTCGGGGAAAGGTTGTTAGAGAAACCAGGGCAAGGTGGTTTGTCATTGATGTGCAGGCGTGCGATGATGAGTTACGCAAGCGAGAGTTTTAATGACACGAGCAATTATAAATAATATTGTGTGTGTGTGTGTTTCAATCTCAAAGATCGTGCCGTTGTTATTACGTGACGAGGAGCCAGTGATACGACAGAGTAGGTATATATACAGCTGTCCTTTTATAGTCGTTACTCGCAGGTGTGGAGAAAAAATTGTGTGGGGCTTGGAGATCGTTTTTTCGTGTATTTTTTCGGAGTTGAAATACGCATTTAATATGTAAACACAGTATTTAAAAAAATTTTTTTTTTTTTCATGAATGATAAAACTTAAATTTACTGTCAAAATCTGCGACGGCTTGATAGCAATATTTCATCAGATCTATGAATCAAAAAATTATATCTTAAATTTTACATTTCTATTGATTTCTGAGTTTGAATAAAATATAATGCTATTTTATAATGGTACTCTTGTAAATGTTAAACATTTTTATTAATAACCAATAAAATTTTATTGTTTCACAATCAGGTGAAATAATTAAAATAATTTTAAGATAAAATTTAAAGAATGTCATCCATCAGACCATTTTATTTTTGATGAAATAACCAATGTGTGTTGTATAAGTATTTCAATTTCAATTGACAACAAAGTTATTACAACANTGTAAATGTTAAACATTTTTATTAATAACCAATAAAATTTTAATTTATTATTGTAATATGGTTACTACCACCGCTTTAATTAGCATTGGAACAGCTCACTGTATTATTCGAGAAATTTACGTTCATATCCATCAACGGAGATAATGATGCCTAATTGTATTATAATCCAGCGGTAACATAAAATCAGATAGGAACTTGTAAAATAATTAGCTGAGGGTTTTAGCCGAGGCTGAAAACTGTCCGTGGCAAATTATTTAATAAACAATTTTAATCTTGTGGGTAATCTAGTCATTCAATGGAAACAATGTGAAAGCTGTACAATGAGGTAGCATCGCTGACAAGCTTTGGTCTGGATGGAGGCGCTTCGGCATTAGTCAAGATGACCTCAGTCAACGTGTTATATTGATTTATGTGTTTTAAACATGATCAGTCACAGGTGATCTCGACCAAGGCCCTCTGGGCTCCAATTCGAAATTTGTCTGCGATAGAAATTGTTGATACA